GTTTTTTGTTTTCCCTTCACATCTCCCATGTATTCCCATTACACTGAATCATTTGTTCTCCCTGACTTCAAATCTATGTCCTTGCTTTTTGATGTTATTTATGCTGTTGTACATCTTTCCATATACTACTGATAAATCTTATCAGTAGCACACACCACACTACCAGTAGGAAGAGATGTAACAGTGTAACAACAGAAGACAAGGGCCAGGCAACAGATCAGTTTTATTACGAAAGCCAACAGGTATTTATATGTATTTTACATACATTAATAGGCTCCTGCCCGCAGAAAGAAGGCGGTCTTCTGATTGGTTGTTTGCACACAAACGCAGTCTTCTGCTTTCTCGTTTTCGATGTTTCTCGGAAATGCGAGCCACTTGTCTGCGAATCATATTTGTCCACGTCAAGGTCAGCTGTGATTGATCGTTGAATCAGCCTAGATTAATTTCTACCAATCAGCGTAGATCAGTGTCTACCAATTGGCTAGCAGCTTGCTCTCACCACACTCGTCCCCCCGTCAAATAGTTTGGACTGAAGTCGGCTCGGTCTTCTCGGTTCTTGGGACTTTGCTCTGTTGCCTTGCTGTCTGGAATCTCGGCGCTTGCGGATATCCACTTGTTTAACGGTGTTTACCATTGCGATTGTGTCTGCGTAACCCCATCTCAACGTGACCATAGATGGTCCTTCCCACTTTGGAAACTGTTTGCCTGACCCTGTCGCACATTCGTAGGTATTTCGCCTCACACTTCCATATGCTGCTTTCTCCCGACCTCCCAGCAGCGTCCCAAGTAGCAGCCTCATCGCTGACAGATCTTGAACGCCACTCAACTGCGAAGAAGCCTCGAAGTCCTGCGCGAAGATCCATATGTCTCCATCAAAAACTGCAGGGCATAGGCTTTCCATTTGTCGGTAGGCAGCGACACCAAATGTAACAACAGAAGACAAGGGCCAGGCAACAGATCAGTTTTATTACGAAAACCAACAGGTATTTATATGTATTTTACATACATTAATAGGCTCCTGCCCGCAGAAAGAAGGCGGTCTTCTGATTGGTTGTTTGCACACAAACGCAGTCTTCTGCTTTCTCGTTTTCGATGTTTCTCGGAAATGCGAGCCACTTGTCTGCGAATCATATTTGTCCACGTCAAGGTCAGCTGTGATTGATCGTTGAATCAGCCTAGATTAATTTCTACCAATCAGCGTAGATCAATGTCTACCAATTGGCTAGCAGCTTGCTCTCACCACAACAGTACTCGTAGTATACTACCTTTCACTGCGTCCGAGTTTGGGATTTTTCAGAAGTTGGTGCTCGTGGACTCACCAGGGATCTGAGAAGAGCTCTCAGTTTATGCGACTAAACTAGTTGACGGTCTAGGCACTTTGGTTATGATTCATTGACCTGGGACCCTGGTGGTTTCGTGGATGCGCCTTGGTTTTCAGGGATTTCTCTAACTGATATTAGTTTGTTACGCAATCTACACTGGAATTAATCCCAATTCCTGTAACTGCCCATAATCTAAATTCCCTACATTTATCCTCGATTTATCTAGGTATGTATTGTAAAGAATAAAAATGTTTTCTGTTGTTGAGCTGATTCATATTATATTCAGTGTTCATAGGATGTTATTCAATGTTTGTCCGCTGCATGCCATTCACATGTAATGTTACTATACATTGTGTTACGTGTCTTACATGTATATATATACATTCGATACATTTTTGTTCGCTACATGCATGAACCTTAAATGATAAACCCAAAATAGTAATAAAAATAATAACATTTAAGTGTTGAAATTTGTACTTGTGTTTTTGTATTTGTTATTGTGTATATTTTGGTTACATTTGGCGTAAGGTAGTATTTACTAGCTTTGAGTTTCATTGAATTGATCTGAATTGCATTGCGCAAATTGCATTGGCCTCAAACAACCTATTTTGTAGCAGTTTGATCGAGTTGGTGTGTATATGTGCGAGCGTGCGTGCGTGTTTGTGCGTGTGTGTGTGTGTGTGATTTTCAATCATTCATTTCACTATTATCAGTCATTGATAATTCGTGTGTCCTCAAATAATCTCTACTTCTGCTTTTATCTAACTATTCTGATCTTCCTAGTTAACTCACTCTGAAATTTCTTAACAATCTGACGGTCTTAGATAGTTGGAGGCAATCGGCAGAAAGCCTTGGACCTAGGTTTTGTGCTAGTTGACGTTGAGTATGATTTTTTTGGTTGCAGATACGCCTTGCTAACCAGTGAGTACCAACTAGCACGAAACCTAGGTCGAAGGCTTCTTGCCGATTGCCTCCAACTATCTAATATCATCAAATCAATGTGCACCGTGATGGCGACCTACCTAGAATGGTGGCCACATTGCAAACCTGACTGACTGATAGAATTCAGTTTGCACCAAAGAAAGGACTAGACACGTCACACTAGTTACTAGTGTCCAATCAAAAATCTGACAGTCTAACAAAGATTTCATGCAGTGGCACATTTTACATAATTGATAGAATGTACTGTCTGAGTTTCAGCATAGAACATTGCACAAATCTTCACCATGGAAAACGATTTCGAACTATGTTGTCAGTAGTATCTGGTCATTATCGCTTAGCATCTCGAGGTGCCAAAAGCAGTCAGTCTACCCTGCCCTGCCCTATGTGGCTAGCTCAAACCAACTGTAATTCCCAGGTTTTGATTTGACCACCCAATAATCCTTTTTTGAGTGTTGGCTAACATTGCTTTTCGTGGCAGGTGATAGTTCGGGCGTGCGCAACACCCCTATCCCAGTTGATGTATATTGAACTACTGTAAGGAGGATCCGACGATTATATCTCCAAAAACTTCATGCAATTCTTCCCATTAATAAACTTGAACAAAGCAAGAACAACAATTGTACCAGGATAATATGAGAAGAATCCTCGAAATAATAGAAAATGAGCTCATATTATCCTGGTACAATTGTTGTTCTTGCTTTGTTCTAGATTATATCTCCCTTCATACAGTTATATCTTTGTGAAAGGTGAATAGAGTCAGTTCACAGAAAGTTCTGAAAAGCCAAGTTTTATGCTCAGTTGCATATTCATTAATAAGTTGTATTTGTGACTTGAAAAAATGTATTCCACCTACAAGATTTAAAACTGGGTCATTCATTGACAAAACCAGAGAATTCGCAGTTGACTACCGTCTGTTTTTAGGCTTGAATTACTCATATAAGTTTTTTTTTTAAAAAAAGGTAGTTCTTCAGAAAGGTAATGAAATTTAACTGTTTTGTTTGAAAAGGTATTGATTGAATTGTGTTTCACTAACAAAGCTAAGTTTGCTGTTTTGGAGGTCAATTCATATACAGAGTTATGTTTTTTAATTACACGGTCTGTAATTTTTTAATTATTCCTTTACGTTCCCAGTGGAACATAGGGCTTCAAGCTAGAGACTTGAAGTTTCGGTAGCAGTGGTGATTATTTTTACGGGTTGGGGTTGCTAGTCTCATGCCCAACCTTCCCTTTTTACAAGTCTTATTACTGGCTTAGCGAGGTAAAGGAGTTCGTCAGCCGGGAGTCGAACCCCGAACCACTTGAGGCGTGGTCGGCAAGCATTCTACCTCTGTTCAGCCGATGCACATTGATGAGGTAGTGCATCATTTGAAGTTTGCCACACTTTAATATAGCACACATGTGTATAAGAAAGGCTATAATGAAGAGCAGTGAAGAGGTTCACAATTTAGAAAGAGAACCAAAATGGAATACATCTGAGCTCTTATGAGCAATTTCGAATAGGTGGTACATATTCTATTATTATTGTTGTTAGTCAGCCTGTACGCCACATCCCCATTCCACTCGATCTCCATGAATTAATTTGCTTATTCATTACACTAGTTGATGAGGTCACTTTCTGGTTGTCATGATAACTGCAAAAGACATTGTAGAGTCATTTATGTAACTTTGGACTACATAACGATATCGGTATCCTTTGTCTTCTTAACTTCAGCACTTGCACATTTCTTATTTTAACTCTTGCTTTCTTTATTGTTTTTCATGGCGTCTCATTGTTATGTGTGTTCGACTAACATCCACTAATGGGCCATAGATTGAAAATCCACTCTACCTATGTTTCGGCAGCCTGGTAGTATCACTTACCTTCAGACTTCAGGAAGTATGAAATTGTGAAACTGTATCGACTGAAATGGCTAGGACATGTGTGCTGCACATGCCGAACCACCGTCATCCTCGTTAAGCAATGTCAGCTGACATTTTACATTTCTCACATGAGTTCAGGTGTCTATCAACTACAGTAGTAGCGAGCTGACTTGGTGGCACACCAGTTGCTCCACTGACAACCTTCCATACCCTACCCATTATGACGTAGTCTTTTTTGAGTAGCCCAAGAAAGGCTAAAGGGGAGCAATAAAGAAAAATAGGTAGGATGCAAGAGTGAAAAAAATTGTGAAAATAGAGGTTGAATGATTCCTGGACGTCCTAACTTCATAGTGTAGTAGGTTAGACGGAACATCTTCCTAGAAATCGAATAGATATAGGATGACCAAGAAAGGTCAGAAGAAAGAACTATTTCAAGGTATTTCATGCTTGACTTAGTTTTTATTTCAGTGCCCTCTATGCTACAATCATCTTGTGAACGAACCAGTTCGTGTAGATCACGTTTATGCCTGAATGTGAAGTTAACTAATCTGACTTTGAAGAGATTTAACATAAGACTATTAGGCCTAGATCACTGACTGATGTTCAACAAAAAGCCATCAAGTTTGGAACAGTCAGATCGGAACGTAACTAGGTCTTATTACTGGCTTGGTGAGGTAAAGGAGTTCGTCGGCCGGGAATCGAACCCCGGACCACCTGAGTGGTCGGCGAGCATTCTACCTTCACGCACATGATGAGCTAGTGCATCATTTGAAGTTTGACTCAATGAGAGACAATCAAATCATCAGCATTATTTAACGAAGTTTCTTAGTAAGACATTAATTATTTATATCTTATTTTTTTCAATTCATTCTACAGGTACATTAACTGGTATCCGTGTAACACATCAAGTTGTCTATGCATTGTGTAAAGCTCAAAAAATGCAATGTGAATTTTATCCAACCCGTGAAGTTGTACTCAGTCTGGATCCGTATTCTGGTCTTGGATTCACTCTGTGGGCGTTAACATCTGTCTACTGTGGACATCATTCAGTGTTAATACCACCGAGTGTAACCGAGGTTGTACCTGATTTATGGCTTAATATTTGTAGTCAAAGAAAAGGTAAACATATATGAGTGTAATTTCTTATGTAAAAAAGCTTAGTAGCTTTATTTTTATTTGAAGTTTTTATGGAAAAATTCATTCATATTTTAAATTTACAAGTGTTATTTTGGGGGGGGAATTGACCGATTTCAAGTTACATCATGAAGTGATACATCGATTAGAGAACTATTGAAAGCCAGGGAGTACTAAATAGTCATTTCGTTCCAATTCGCGACTCTTCAGTAGTACGCACTCGTGACCTCCTGAAAATCTAACCCGGGACTGAGGGGGTTATTGAGATTAAATCCAGTAGTCCATGAATTTTCACTTCTTTCAATTCACGGTACACAACGCCACCGCCAACCCAATGCTATCGGATTGTATCTTTCATTATATCCGAATTGGTGGATCCCACTGGCTTGGACAGTAGCTGTGCGTCGGTGGCATAGTGGTTAGGACTCTCGCCGACCATGCACATGGTCCGGGGTTCGATCCCCTGCCGGCGCACACCCGATATCTATGGTATGCCTGAATTTGGGCAACCGATATCCATGCTGAAAATTCCATACTTGTACTGAAAATACGGTGTGGAATCAAGCTGTAAATCAAATATTACCTTCACGTGGTCGTCGAGCTTGCATAGTGACATGACCCAACGAGCTACACTGACTGAAACTAGTATCCCTGTAGGTCCTACCTTACCAGTAAGGTCCTTTGGATAGCAACTAGACTAAAAGCAGTTACCGTCATAGTGTAAGTTGTTGACACTCGTTTTGGGAGTCTGTGGACGAAGTTGTACCGTAGGGATGTAACAGTAGTAAGATATTTCTTTCGGACGACCAGAAAGTCAATTATATTACCTTTCCGCTTCGGAAATGGTAAGGGGTTAGGATAGATCGAGTCTGGAAATTGTTCATCCCTCGACTCACCTTGCCGGCGGTGAGATCTTAATACGGACTTCAGGATATGCTGCATATGCAACAATTCAAGCCAGTGGACATTCTGTTAGGTTCTCGTTTATCGGAAACTACCTACTCACTGAGTACCTGCAATTCGAAATAATAATACTTTGTGTCATACATAATCAGAGGTATCACTCTAGTTTATTAGGATTACACTAATTCATCAATGGATTGTGTTGGATAGAATTAAATCTCTTTTTCTTGGATTTCGGGGCCCATAAACAATATTTTTCTACTGGTTGTCGTACTGTTTGCTTGACGTGGTGCCTAGTGGTGCAATTGCAAGATTCGTGTTTTGTTCTATTTATGGCTGGATAAATTTGAGGCATCTCTAGTGAGTGACTGTTTTATTTCCAATGAGATTTGATCCTTCCACCAATTTGCTTCATACACTAAAGCCTTATCTCCTAGATCTTTGAGTCACGAGTACCACCTTCCTTTATTTTCTGAGGTTATTGTGGCAACCAGGGTATTAGGATTATATCTCTCGTATAAAGCACACTGCTCTTTTGGTAAACGCTTAAATAGGCACTAAACTGATAAGTGTTAAGTGTTGTATGTATATTCATATTGGTATCACAGTCAGTTTTTAAAAAAAAAATTTTATTTTGGTTATTTTTTTCTCATTCTGTCTTCAGTTCGTGATGCATTCTGTTCTCATTATACTATGGAGTTAGCTACACGTTATCTTGCTAAACAAATGACTGTTTTAAAGGTCAGTTAATGATGAATTGTAATCACTTTTTTGTTTGTTTACCTTTTTATGCCGATTTATGCCGGTTTTACACATTGCACCTTGTATTATTGTAGTTGAAATCAAATTGTTACACTATTATGGATCGGTTCATATAGAGATGTACTCAGTTTCACTCGTGTTACTTTAAACCACCTCTAATGAGCTTCGACCCCAAACGAGCGAAACGGTCTTTCGATCTTTGGATCACTTCGATCTAGTTAGCCACAACTACTGGTTGATGTGATTAGTGTCCAACTACTCATGTTTATCAATCAGTACTTTGTGTAGTACTCATACTCCGTCTGATATAATAATAATATTTATTGTTAACCTTATTACTTTCACCATCTCTATGATTGTCGTAACTCTATTTTCGTCATGATGTTACATTATCATCCGAAATGGCGTACAGTAAATGGTTATTTCTTTCCAGATGCCAAGCGATCATCTATCATCATCCCTCTATTCATCAAATGTTATGATATGTCTGTGTATGTGAATATATGCATGCTTAAATCCACCTTATCTCAGTGTGTATTTGGCATTTTTTCCCGCGTATTACAAGTCCATTATTCCTGTACCCTGCGCAACACCCCCTCCCCCCGGCTTATTGTGTTTATTATTATGATATAAGAGAAGAGGGACACTTTTGTGTATGTCTGTATGTGTCTTGTTTTATTGATTCTACTGATTGCTTTACCGGTAGATGCAATGTGTATGTTGATCTGTTTGAGTGTTTGTGTGGTGCTGTGTGTGAGAGTGTGTGTCTGATATTTTAATGACTGTTCACATTTAATGTTTTTTTGTTCATCAGTTTGTGGACAAATACATCTTGTGTTACTGAATAGTTATTCTGTTTATCATATTTTCAAAATACGGAACACTTCGGTTTCCTCTACTTTCAGTTGTGTTGACCATGCCAAAAATCAATTCTGACTTTAGGTGGTGGTGGTAAAGGCCAACATTTGACCTTTTGTAATCTATCTAGGAGAAATATTTAATCGATGTTAAAAATAGTGTAGTTTCACAGTTGTTGTTGTTTGGATAGTTGGTTCAAATAATTGAAGCGCTTCACACTGCACTTCTCTTTATTGCGTAACGAGGTCGAATTCGACCAATTTGGCAGTATTATTAGCCATCATACAATGGATGGACTGGATTATGCGTCAGACAGTGTGAAACGAGAAGACAGGGATATCCTGGACCGACGTGAAGAACCTAGAAGACCTGGATTTCGCGCGTGGATGATTTATGTTTGATGTCACACAAAATCGAAGACTTACAAGCGAACACCGACAAACTGGTCGAAGAAGCAGCTGGTGAAGACAGGACTCCAGGTGAACATAGACAAGACGGAGGTCATGAAAATAACCAACCAACAACAACAACAACAGCAGCAACATCCAGTGCCAATCACCATCAACGGGAGGGATTTGAAAAAGGGTTACTTCATTCGGTCACTTATCTAGGGAGCATTGTCTCAACTACAGGAGGAACGGACGAGGATGTCAAATCGAGAATCGGGAAGGCGAGAAACACATTCATCAACCTGAAACCAATCTGGAAATCTTCGTCACTCAGCATCAACAACAAAATTCGGATTTTCAATACAAACGTCAAGCCAGTTTTGCTATACGGATCAGAAACTTGGCGGCGGGTCACAAAGAATATTTCCAACAGCCTGTTGCAGACCTTTATCAACAACTGTCTTCGCTCTATACTGAAGATCAGATGGCCGGAAAGAATCACCAACAAGAAACTATGGGAACAAACGAAACCAGAACCAATCGGTCAACAAATATGCTTGAGAAAATGGAGATGGATTGGACACTCGCTGAGGAGGCCGTTGGGTGACATCGCGCGTCAGGCCATAGCTCGAGTGGAACCCGAAAGGGAAGCGGTGAGTAGGACGTGCAAGGGTGACATGGAGGAGATCGTGTGAAGAGGAGTTGAATCAGTATGGACTAACATGGATGCATGTGAAAAGTACAGTAGAAGACAGAAACAAGTGGAGACGTGCAGTTGAAGCCCTATGTTCCACTAGGAACCCAAGGGAACAATAGTAATAATAATAATAATTAGCAATCATGCAACTTGACACTTGAATGTAAATCTAAGTGTCATAGAGCAGTGTGTGACGAAATTTCATTAATTGGTGTTACTTATGTATTGAATTCAAGTCCGCCTACTTAAACATTGGCGTCTTTAGTGTAATCGTCTGCACCTAGATAAATGTTGACAATCTTAGAACTCTGTCCTGATTGTTGTCAGTTTACACAGTGATCGCCGTGTCTTTCGATCACAATAAAGAAATTCATTTCAAGTTTCATCATGGATTGAAATCAGCTAGAGATCTATTGAAACTCAAGGAGTACTAGACAGCTGTTTCTTCCCCACTGGGGGAGGGTCGAATCCAGGACCTTCATGTTACGAGGCGAGTTCGTTGACCATTCAGCCACTGGGACAGAATTTGATGATTCAATTCGCGATATTTAGCGCCATGACCAGCCATTGTTATCGATGAGTATTTGTTCTTGCATCCGACTTAGTGGACCTCAGTAGTCAAGGCTTCTCACTATAATTCCGGGTAACTTCGCCTTGTAGTCAGTCACTAGTGAGCATTGAATTTCATTTCTCAATAATTTCTAACTATTAATCCCGCACCACTTTTGAATTAGGATGAATCAATCAGATGTTCATTGCTCCTTGGTGTTCAGTAATTCATGCAACTGATACCTAATATTGGTACATTTTACCTTTGACATATCTCATGTTGTTTTCAATGTCTCAATTTCTCTTCTATTCAAAAAAGGAAATCTTATTGCTTATATTATTTATTTTTATTTTCTTTTTTCTTTTTTTGCTTTTAGCAACGTGAAATCAGTTTATCAAGTATACGCAGTTTAGTTGTTGTCGCTGAAGAACGACCACGAGTTCATTTGACGGCTACATTTACAAAATTATTTGCTAGTTTAGGTTTAATGGGACGTGCTGTAAGCACATCATTTGGTTGTCGTGTCAATTTAGCTATTTCATTACAGGTATGTTCAATTCTTTGTTTTATCAACAATTGTGACACTTATCTGTCTTATTTACTTTATTTATTTATTTTACTTTATTTTTTTTGAGTGAGCCTAAAGTTCAGTAATTTTATCTACTACCACGGATTATACAATTGCACTATTAATATTGCTGTTAGTCTCTCTAACCTATAGAATTACTCAAATTACTTTAATCTCTGACCCATCGGATTTTGTTTGAACTAGCCAATTAAAATGGTTAACGTTTCGCAGGATAAAATAAAAAATCTCTTTTTAGTTTTTTAGGGATTCGATTGATTGGTTACAGGATTTCATCATGAGGTGACATCGGTTAGAGAACCATTGGAAAACCTTGGGAGTACTGGACAGCTGTTTCGTCAGCCTAGTTTGCGACTCTTCAGTGCGCACCCACCAACGGGGTTCAAACCCAGGACCTTCTGGTCACAAGGTGAGCTCGTAGACTGATAAGTCACTACGATCCGATCGAATGGCCAGCCCATGAATTCAAACTTCTGTGAATTCACGACATAGCGTGACCTGCTAGCCAGTGGCTTAATGGTCTACGGACAGAAGGTCCTGGGTTCGAACCCTGGCGGTGAGTGTGTATTGCTGAAGACTCCCAGACTGGATGAAACAGCTGTCCAGTACTCCCTGCAAGTGTTCCAATGGTTCTCTTACCGATATCAGCTCGTGATGAAATCCTGTAATAAATCTCTTTTTTTCGTATTCAATCTTGACTAATTTTCAACGCAGAAATTTGCACAGAAGTGCAACAGTTCAAGTTGCCCACACTCTATACATTTCACAAAAGAAATTCAAAAGAATTACGATGAGCAGAAATATACAGGAGAATAGCAAAAGGACTTAATTGATCTGCAAGATTACAAACGGTGAAGTCATGTACGACAATAAGAATGGTTTTGAGACAGACCACCAACAGTGTCAAGCCATTTGTTGTTACCGCGTCGAGGACGCTAACTGGGCAGTCTGCATGCCTCAGGCAGTGGGAACCTTTGTCGATTGATGCCAGGTTATTGGTAACGCCACCACCAGTAACGCTTTTTACAGCCTAGCTCTATCCTTTCAGCTAACACTGTTTGTTGAAGAAGGCGATGTTCATCTTAACTCTCATGTAGCTTCACAACCTAATCGACTGACCTACCTTACTTACCTAATACTCTACACTTAACACGAGAGACAGAATGCAGACACCGGTGGTGAAACACAACTAGACTCTTCATATCTCCCACTTTCGATGCCCCTATGTCTTACAAACATAAAATGAGACCTATTTGAGTGGTTAGTGTTATATATATATAGTACATAGTACAAGTATGGAATTTTCAGGATGGATATCGGTAGCCCAAATTTTGCAGGCCGACCATAGATATCAGGTGTGCGTCGGCAGGGGATCGAACCCCGGACCATGTGCATGGTCGGCGAGCGTCCTAACCGCTGTGCCACCGACGAAACTGATTTAGCGTAAACTATTTTCTCTGTCTGATTATTCAAAGCTTATTAAATAGGTGTAGAAAAGGTGTTACTCAACATTTTTGTATGGATCAACTGAAAAATTGAATCCTTAATGTAGGAATAAGTCAGTCATTGTCTATTTATTTACCTTCTCCTTGATTGCGTAATAGCCCCAGGCTAGTTAGAATACTTTTCTGCAAACTAAACTAATCAACATCCTTTCTAAGATATTTCTGCTTTAATCAGTTGTTATGATTAGATTAGATTAATTCAGACAATCATTAGTAGTATTAGTAGTATGTTTTGAATAACGTTACGTTGTGTCATATTTTCTGCTCTCCAGTCATTGTTATTGTTGTTGTTGTGTATCAGTATGTTGCGTAATAGTGTGTGTGTGTACAGACAAAGATTCAACTTCTTATGTCTATGGTGATGGCGATTTAGCCTTCAAGTTGCCATACTTCTCTCTTTAACTGATCTCTGTCTAAACATTATTATTATTACTATTATTGTGTCGAAACGAATGTCAGTGTTTAACTACTAACTGCCGTTATATAATAGGCACTGAATTTTTATTAGTCATAATCTATTTCTCTTCCTCCCCTTCCCTTTCCCAAAAATATATGTATGTGTGTGTATGTGCCTTCGCCCCTCACATTCTGCACTAGTCTACAACACACACACATACACACACTTATGCTAGTAGTATATAAAAACCGATTAAGCAAAACAGAAAATGTCATTTGAAGGAAAGAGTTAAAATTACACAGTTGAAACAACATGTTAGTGAATATCATCAATGCTGTAATGTCCAGGATTATATGAGACACATATAAACGTGTAATTTGATGTGTACTGTGTGTGTGCGTGTGTGTGTGTGTGTACTGATCATTTGTTATTCTGCGTTTTGGTTTCATAAGTTAATTGATAAGTATAATTTCGTATTGGAGATAAGAACGACACAACTATACAGCATTACAAGTATGAGTTTTAAAAGTGGGCCATTTAAAGTTTTCAAACTCTGATCGTTTAATTTCAAATTGCATGAATTTGATCGAATTCGTAATGAACCTCTTGAATTTGTGTCTACCCGCTATAGTTGGTTTGTAAGGATTAGTTTTGTTTTTACGAGTTGATCACAGATTGATTGATATCAGTTAGAGAACCATCGGAAACCAGCAGCTGTTTCATCCCACTAGTTTGGGAATCATTGGCAGTACGCACCCACCACAGGGGTTCAAACCCAGGACCTTCCGGTTACAAGGAAAGCTGGCTCGTATATCATTCAGCCACTGGGACCCGATTCAATGACAAGTCCATGAATTCTAACTTCTATCAATTCGTGATTCAGCGCGACCACCAACCAGTGTTATCGGTGGGACATCCATCTTCACACTTGACTGGATGGACCTCACTGGCTAGGACATGTGTTACATATGCCTAGTCATCTCCTTCCTCGACGGACATAGTTAGCTGACATAGTGTCAGACTGGAAAAGAGCTAGCGGTGGTCAAACCAGAACATGGCATCAATCAATGAAATCCACAACAGTTAGTTTAAGCCAGTCACATAGGGAGGTGTGGACTGCTGTCTGGTTGTTGTCCTTGGGATAATCAAAGGCAATGGTTAGAAACAATTGGTGATATGGCTCGAAATCGCTCTCAATGGCGTAGATGCATCCACTCCTTGTGACTTATGATTTCAAATGAAACTGTTTTGTTCTTCGTTATTACTATTCCTTTGTTTCACACCTCTGTTTACTGTGTCTAATATTCATTTCTTCTACTTTCTTTTCTTGCTTTGTGTGCTACATGGAGTGTGGGGACTTGAACTGCCGCACATATGTGCAAAGTTCTATGTCCAAAACAGACAGACCTCACTGGTCACGACTTCTCACCCGTTTGGTTGTTGAGTTGTGCAGTGTAGTTTTCAATGATTCTTTTCCTGCTGAAGAAATTTTTAAATATATTCATCATTACTCGCCAGCAGGATGGGTCAATAAGACAGAACATCTGCAGGAAGCCCACCTAGACTGGTATCTAAATTGTTATAATTTCTGTTCACTCTGGTTAAAAAAAAAAGCGTTAGTCAAGTATTTCTTCAGACGTATTCAACATAGGCGTACAGAAAATACCATTGAAGAATACTTTTGCGTAATAATGATGTCCTGAAATTTACTAAGCACTACAGAAGTGTCAGACAAAGACCTCTATCAATCCAATAAGCTTCCAAAAAAGGATGTTTATATTTGCTTACAATTCAAGGGTGACCACCAAAGTGTGAGTACTAAACAAAGACGCAGAGCGACACTCAGTAAAACTTACTATGCAGCTATGCTCATCTTTATAGAGATATTGAGATTTATGCTGTCCTCTATACCTTCAAAACATCCGAATGATGGTGTTATATCCAGCTATGTTCACCAATTTACATGTATGTCCGGTGACACACACACACACACATAGGGAGGACTACATGAACAAATAAAATCACCGGATACAATTAATCCCGGAAAAACATGTCTGACGCCATCTATCGCAAAGCACATCATAGAGATGGTTCATAAAGTTAAATTCAAAAGCGCGGGTGGAATGTCCTAAATATACTATTCAAATGCATTACACGTTTTCAGATAAATCACACGTCTTCTTATTGTTTTGTTGAACTAATTAATGACTTTAAAGAAATAATTTAATCGACCGAGACTTATTTCACTTAAGTTCTTATATTGATAATTATGTAATAAGCACTCTTTTATCACAATGTACAATCTGTTTCACGTGTTCAAAAGACTGAAGCCTAGAGTATTTCACTCACTTTTTCTACGTCTAATCCCCCTCTCTTTATTGAATATGTGATATATGAAACTATTGACTATGACTTCATTGTATCTCTTTTTATTTATTTATTGTTAATTAGGGGGCTAGTTCACCAGAAAGTACAACTGTCTATGTGGATCGTGTTAGTTTACGTAATGATCGTGTGAAATTACTTGAAAAAGGATCACCGCATAGTCTATGCCTTATGGAATCAGGAAAAGTAAGTTATCATGTCATATATATATATATATGCATCCGTGGCTCAGTGGTAAAATTTATGCCTACCATGCCCGTGGTCCAGGGTTCGATTCCCGACAGACATAAATCTGAACCTCACCTAGTCAACTAGGCAGAGTAATAAGCCAAGAAAAGTGGGAAGTTTGGTCGTGTGACTAACAATCCCACCCTGTAAAAAAACCATAGAACCACTGCTAATAAAACTTCAAGGCTAGATCCCCTTGTTTTCACTCGGAATGTATCTATAAATTTACATATATGTGTGTCAACGTAGATGGTGTCACTCACCAACATCAGCTAGAGAGAATCAATGAAAACCCTAAAAGCACTGGACAACTATTCCTTCCTAGTTTGAGATTCTTCAGAAGGACACATCCACTACTCCCCATCAGACATCATGAGTAAGATTCTCAGATTATATTGTCATTCCTTTGACTGTTCGCCCGCTTCACGGATCTCTTCTAATAGTTTAATGTAAGGCGACGTTGGCCGGAAAGAATCACCAACAAGAAACTATGGGAACAAACGAAACAAGAACCAATCGCCCAACAAATATGCAGGAGAAAGTGGAGATGGATTGGACAGTCGCTGAGGAGGCCGCTAGGTGACATCGCGCGTCAGGCCAGTGCTCGAGTGGCACCCGAAAGGGAAGCGGTGAGTGGGACGTACAAGGGTGACATGGAGCAGAACGTGTGAAGAGGAGTTGAAACAGTATGGATTAACATGGACGCAGATGAAATGTTCAGCAGAAGACAGAAACAAGTGGAGACGTGCAGTTGAAGCCCTATGTTCCACTAGGAATCCAAGGGAACAATAATAATGATAATAATAAAAGACCCAAATTCATCAGTTGGTCGAACATACATACATTTTTCATGTAGTGGGGGTGAGGTAATTTATGCTTTTAGCTTGATGACTGACGTAATCACTCGACTTCTAGCAAACAGATCCTAAGTTCGAATCCCGCCCTGTCTACTGCATTCCTTACACAATAAGTGTGCTTCATAGCTCGGTATGTACGTCGGTGGTACAGCGGTTAGGACGCTCGCCGACCATACACATGGTCCGGGGTTCGATCCCCGCTCAGCTAGTAATAAAAAGCTGGTAAAGAGGGAAGGTTGGGCATGAGGTTAGCAAGCCCATCCTGTAAAAATAAACAATGCTACAGAAACTTCAAGCCTCTAGCTTGGAGCCCTATGTTCCACTGAGAATGTGAAGGAATAAAAAAATAGCTCGATATGCGGTTACTGAACCTATTGAATCATTCTCAATTAACATTACCATAATTTTCATTTTTTGTTGTTGATGAATTCAATGAATTAGATATCCACTCACTTTAATATCATTGCCTATTTTTCTTGTAGTTATTACCTGGTGTACACGTAGCCATAGCTAATCCAGATACACTTGGTCAATGTGCTGATTCACAGTTAGGTGAAATCTGGGTCTCATCACCGCATAATTCAACTGATTTACTGGGACCATTTGATAGTGCTAGTTTAAATCGTTCAAATGGGAGTGTTTCACAACCAGTAGCTGGTACAAATGCTACAGATTCATTGCATGCTCGTTTGGTTACTGGTGACACAGAACGAGTTTATGCACGTACAGGTTTTCTAGGCTTTGTTCGTCGAACTGAACTGACACAATCAGATGGAGGTAAATGTGTTTTTTTGTTTCTTTTTTTCTTCTTCTTGTTTATAATTTCTCTAATTTTGCCGCATTTTTATCCATGATCTTAAAGCGACTATATTTTGCAGTTTTCGTGTACTTATGACAATTTTTGTTTTTCTTAGTCTTTGTAAGCGCACCGGACTCTGATTAGTTGTCAACTGTTTGAAACGTAATAGTGAATTAAAAGTTTCTCAGGGTTATTTGAAACTCGCATTTTTAACAGGTTGCAAACTTTTGTCAACATATACCTTCACTGTCTTGTTACTTAAGATCAAATTACCAGAGAGATGGAACTCTGGCTTGTATGCAGAAGGAAATGGAAATGGATCGGACGCACCTTGCGGAAATCGTTGAGTGACATCGCATGTCAGGTCTTCGAGTGGAACCTGACGAATTATGCGTGCCTTTGAGGATGACATATGGAGGAGATTTTATGAGGAGTATAATATGATGATGTTCAGTGATGCAGTCGAGGGTTCCGACAGTTATTCATACAGTCAAAAGTACAGCCCTTCTTCTCTTATTTCCACGTTAAGGTGGTATTACTGTTGTTGTGGCTGTTGGTATATTTTGGCGACTAGAGTTGTTCTCCTCAAGCGTTGTATTAGCTTTGTAATGCTCACAGTCAATTAGACTATTACTACTACTGGTCATATCACACGTCACCTGATTACAGGAAATTTCCTTTCGTCTTTTCAATGATTATTTTATTTGCAGGATTTCATCATGAGCTGACATCAGTTAGAGAACCATTGGAAAACCTGCAAGGAGTACTGGACAGCTGTTTCGTCCCAGTTTGGGACTCTTCATCAGTACGCACCCACCGGGATTCGAACCCAGGACCTTCTGGTTACAAGGCTAGCGAGCTCGTATACCATTAAGCCACTGGGACCCGATCCAATTGCCAGTCCATGAATTCTAACTTCTGCCAGTTTCGCGACCACTTCAAAATGTCTTCTTCGATGAGTTACTGCCTCACCCTACTGGTCACGGCTTCCCAGTAGAACCCCATGTTAACTGCCTGAATAGGGCTAACCGCTGGTGAGCATCAGATCAATTTTAAAGTATTAGTTTTGTAGGGATTTTGATTGATTAGTTGGAGGATTTCATCATGGGAGTACTGATGAAGAATCCCAAACTAGGACTGCTCAGCGGGCTGTCCACTACTCCCTGCAGGTTTTCCAATGATTCTCTGATGTCAGCTCATGATGAAATTCTTCAACCAATCAAATAAAATCCACACAAAACCAATACTTGAAAATCAATCTATAAGAGTCAAATTCTCTGATGACAATTGGAGAGAAAAACAAGCATCAATTCATGGTTCTGCATACTACTGATTGATTTAGATGACTAGTTGAATACGACTCACTCTGAGATGAGTCAAAATGAGTACATCGCTTATGATCCCAGGCCTAAAGGAGCGTAACGGCCATCCGGTGTTTATATCACGTTGACCTGCTCTAGCATACACTACTGACTGATATAAGTAGTATCTGACTACTCATCCCAATCAATCAATAGTATGTAGCGTCATGCACTTAATTGGATTTTATAAAGTTTTATCCATTGAAGCTTTTGAAATATATGTTGTTACGCATATACAGGTAGCGGCATGTTATTCGAAGTTGAATTTAACTGGGTGACTAAGAGAGAGAGAGAGAGAGAGAGAGAAAGTTAGGAGTGTTGCCAGGTCAAAACGCATGGCACTAAATCATCCGTGTAGTTGTTGACTGCTGGTTTAGAGAAGTGTGAATTCTGTCCTTGGGTTCCTCAACGTATATTGTGAATGATTGTTTAAAGAATCGTTGTACATACGTATCCGGGCAATGTTAGCTGATATAGGGCCAGGCTGGAAAAGAGCTAGCGGCGGTCAAACGAAAACATGGCACCAGTCAATGAAATCCACAACAGTTAGTCTAAGCCACGTAGGAAGATGTAGACTTCCTGGTTGGGGTCCTCAGGACGGTAAAAACCAATGGTTGGAAACAATTGGTGAGATGCCTCAAAATCGTTCTCAGTGACTGGCGCAGATGCATCCACTCCTTGTGACTTATGAATTCCAATTAAACTGTTTTGTTCTTAGTTATTGCTATTCCTTTGTCTTACACCTCTGTTTACTGACCATATTATGCATTTCTTTTCTTTCTTTGTGTGATACATGGAGTGTGGCGACTTGAACTGGCGCACATATGTGCAAAGTTCTATGTCGAAAACCGATCGACCGACGTATTCGGTAGACTAAGCAATCCTTCTTGGATAAATTTTCAACATACAAATTTGCATTAAAATGTAGCAGTTCAGTGTGTCACACTTCATAAAATCACGCATATATTTACAGGCAAAATGCAAAGCTACTACAATAAGTACACGGAAGTGAATACATCCGCACCATAGAGAAAGAATTTGAGTCATGCCCTCAAACAATCTCCATCCATCTATACTAAGCGTCTCGAGGACCCCAACTAGGAAGTCTACGCTCCGCTTACTTGGCTAGCTCAGACCAACTTTCAACGACTTCATGCTCTGATTCCATGTTTTGACTTAACTAACCGTAGCTATTTTTCAGTGCGAATTAATCCTATGTCAGCTGAGATCGCTTGTCTAAGAGAGCGGTGGCTCGACTTGCGTAACACATATACACTAGTCTTATTGATTTTCTTCAAATTTCTTTTTAATTATAGCTTGATTCCCCACACTTTTTCGGTACAAGTATAGCATTTTCAGCATGTGATATCGGTAGCCCAAATTTAGCAGGCCGACCATTGATATCAGATGTGCGTCGGCCGGGGATCGAACCCCGGACCATGTACATGGTCGGCTAGCGTCCTAACCGCTGTGCCACCGACGCACATTCAGTTTCACAAATTCAGCGGTTGAATTTCCCTTCTATTCTAATTCTAAAATTTTGGTTTGCTAGGATTTGTTATATCCCAAAACTGATCACTAGCTGGATTCAGTTAGACGAGCTCTGAAAACCAAGGGAGTTACTGGATAGAAGTTTCGTCCATATTAGTGACGTACTCGTGATCCCACCGGGGGAAAATTGCGATTCAGCAGAAGTTAGAAATGATGGGCTATTCATTGAATTCCGTCGCAGTGGCTGCATGGTATACGAGCTCCTTTTCTAGGCTGAAGGTGTTGGGTTCGACTCCTGGTGGGGTTATGAGTGCGTACCTGTGAGGAGTTTCAAAATAAGGACGAACACAGCTATTTGGTACTGCCTTCTTTTTTGTGCTTCTCTCACTGAATTAAATTCGTGATCAGTGTTGAACTGTATCTGTTCTAACATGACTTCATATTGAAATCATCCAATTCAGAGAATGCCATAATGTTGTATGAATTACGCTCATTACAACGTGAAAGGAAAATGCCAGAGAGAGAGAGAGAGAGACAAAGAGAGAAATGCTTTCCATATGAATATATAATACAATTCATAGTTTAATAAATTATATTTCTTGAATATTCTAATTGTTTTTCTCACCTTCATTTATGCCTTTTTTTATTCACTTTGTTTTTTTTTTATACAATAGAACTGCATGATGCAATATTTGTAGTCGGTAGTCTAGAAGAAACCATACTATTGCGTGGAATGCGTTTTCATCCAATCGATATTGAAAATACTGTAATGCGTTCACATAAGAAAATATGTGAATGGTAAGATTTTTTTCCTTCTCTAGATAAGATGCTTTTGTAAATTATCATGATCATTATTATTATTATTATTATTATTTCATGAAAGAATATGAATGATATGCTGTTGGTAGTGACTGGAGGCAGTGTGGAATTCATGGGTTGCACATTGCGTCCTATGTAGGACTCGTCATCTGAATCTACCTTGCATCCCTAGTGAATCGTTTGTGTTTCCACTGTGGCTCGAACCCAGCACCCACCGTTACAACTGCCAAAACAATATCCACTACAACCCGGCCAGTTAACTCTTTAACTTGTATTAATTGTTGGCGTATAGGATTTGAGTCTCAGGCGGAGCATTATCTATCGCTGGGAATGCAAGTACATTTATTTGACAAGCCCTAAATAAGACGAAACTCACCTCCTGAATTCCACTACCAGTCACCACTATCCATAATAACATTAGGCTAATCCTCAAATATCATCGAAGCGTCCGTACTAGTAGAAGCCGACATGGCAACAGCTAACGAATGGTCCCGTCCAATATAATCAATCAATAAATCAATCAATCGATCAATGGGTAACGGAAATTAACCAAAAACACGAATGATATACTGCTGTGTTTATTCATGTGTATGTGCGTTTGCATGCACGTGTGTGTATGCGTGTGTGTGTGTGTGTGGAAGCGTTTTGATGCACACAACACTTTGCGACACATAAAGTCAATCAGCCTCCTTTTTGCATCCCATGCCAAAATAAGAAAACACCAGATTATTATTATATTGGCTACTACCGGTTAGTGCTGTAGCAGTAATGGTGGTGACTAAGCTGGATTGATGGGAACTATGGGAATTTATAAACAATGAGCGCCTAGCTAAAAACCACACTGTCTAGTCTGACACCAAGTAAAACAGCCTTACTTTGGCTTGAAATCACATTCACAGTGGGTTTTTTTTTATTTACTTTGAAGGTTAGGAATCGAATAATTCAGTCTAAAATATTTTAAACATTTCACACACGACTACTGCTATCTCAAGTTTGATGCAAAATGAAAGCCTTTGATGCAAAGAATGATGATAGTGGGAAGGGATAGCTCCTATCCATTAGAACTAAGTAAATAGTGATTTAAAAATTCCCATTTAGACATTTAATAGAAATAGAAACCAATAAATTGAATGAAGAAAAATGTATTCCTCTTAAATCATTACCACATTGAAGACTGCATGCTTATATATAGTTGTTTTCAGATATAATACATCGGAATTATTATTATTATTGTTGTTCCCTTGGGTTCCTAGTGGAACATAGGGCTTCAACTCCACGCATCCACTTGCTTCTGTCTTCTGCTGTACATTTCACCTGCATCCATGTTAATCCATACTGTTTCAACTCCTCTTCACACGATCTCCTCCAGATCACCCTTGCACCGACGTCCCACTCGCCGCTTCCCTTTCGGGTTCCACTCGAGCACTGGCCTGACGCGCGATGTCACCCAACGGCCTCCTCAGCTCAGCGAGTGACCAATCCATCTCCACTTTCTCCTGCATATTTGTTGGACGATTGGTTCTTGTTTTGTTTGTTCCCATAGTTTCTTGTTGGTGATTCCTTCCGGCCATCTGATCTTGAGTATAGAGCGAAGACAGTTGTTGATAAAGGTCTACAACAGGCTGTTGGAAATATTCTTTGTGACCCGCTGCCAAGTTTCTGATCCGTATAGCAAAACTGACTTGACGTTTGTATTGAAAATCCGAATTTTGTTGTTGATGCAGGCTGAGTGACGAAGATTTCCAGATTGGTTTCAGGTTGATGAATGTGTTTCTCGCCTTCCCGATTCTCGATTTGACATCCTCGTCCGTTCCTCCAGTAGTTGAGACAATCCTCCCTAGATAAGTGAATGAAGTAACCTCTTTCAAATCCCTCCTGTTGATGGTGATTGGTGATCGAAACTATACAAATCATTATATTTTGATCATGTTAGAATTCATGGGTTATTGGATTCCGTCCTAGTGGCTGAATCATTAATAGGCTGACATGATAACCTAAAAAGGGGAGAGGTGGCACATTAATTTAAGCCACTCGACTTTCGGCCGATGGGTACCGGGTTCGAATCCCGCTCCACCCGCTGCAACCTTGGCAACTGGGTAGTATCATTAGCCCCCTCCACGCACACACACAATGAGTGTGGCTCACATCTCAGTACTGGATGATTGAGACCTTACTAACTAACTAACCTAAAGTTCCTGAGGTCAAAATCTGTTGACCACGTCATACAGTTTAGTTAGAGAAATGAATAATTCAACCAGCCTAGTTAGTATTTCATCCCAGTGGCTGAATATTTAATGGGGTCGTCTCATAACCCGAAGGTTCTAGATATGTTTCCCCGGGGGGATTATGGGCACGTATTGAGGAAGAGTCTCAGACTAGGACGAAATATGTATCCAGTGATCCCCTGGTCTTCGATGGCTCTATAACTGAAGCTACAAGTATTTTGTGAATGTCGACTATATGTCTGACTCGAATACATTGATGCATTTATTCCCCTTGATGAATTTGAATAAAGCAAGAACAACAGTGGTTTGTGCAGAATAATTTGGTACCATCGAATACATTGGGCTACTGATTATACTCATGAAAGTGTGTGGGCGGAAGTCGATTTTTTCTTCAAGTACCTGAAACAAAAATAGCATTAGCATTGTATAATCACAGAGCCGAGGGGATGACTACTTTAAGCCAATCACACACGGCTTTTTCGAGTTGGCTTTTGTAGTTGTATTCGTACTGAAGTCTTATCATCGCCTATGGACCACTAAAAGGTAAGTTGAGGGGTGTATAGTTCTCAGCGTCGATATTTTAAAACGCCTATTCGAGTGGAGTGGCAGCATGAATGGCTTACTTGTCGTCTGAGGAAAGCTGCTTACTGCTGTTACATCCTTATTCGTCAGTAGTACGACTTTGCCCCTAGACTTTCCCTCCCCACTATGTGATGGTGATTGCCTTTAGTCAAACTGCTATCCAAATGATCTTTCTAGCATGCTACGATCCTCAGGGTTAGGCGAGGTTACAATTATTTGGCCTTTTGGTTTAAATTTGAGCTCTGAAACTGATGAACAGTGACTGCACTTTTTATAGTACTGTTTTTTATGATTTCACTGAATTGTTTGATGTTCTTTGATTCGATTCTTTAGGGTAGTCTTTTCTTTTTCACAAGTTTTACACCTGACTGTTATCATGATATTCTTCAGATACACTAGGAGATAAATGATACGTCATTTTCATTCCATCCAATGTTTTTAGTGGTGTTGTGCTGCCCTCTTAGCCTAAAGATCTTGGGTTCGATGCCTGGTTAGGTCACGCCTGCGTATTGTTGAGGAATCTTAGACTAGGTCGAAATGCCTTTCTGAACAGTACTCTGTGGCTCATTGGCTTAAGCACTCGACTTCCAGCCAGCCTGTATTGTGCCCTGGGTTTGAGTCTTGCTTCACCTATTTCAGCCTGGGCAACTTGGTGGTATAACATTAGACCCCATACAGCAAATGTGGTTTATACGCCAGTACTGGGTAGTTGAATTCTAACCAACTAACTAACTTGTAACGACAGAAGACAAGACATTTATATAGATTTTTATCTACATTATTATTAGCGTTATTGTTAACAGAGAAGCAACGTCTTCTGATTGGTTGTTTTCTTGCTGAAGGTTACCATGTACCGTTTGTGGCCGTTTCTTAGAAAGTTAAGCCATATATCTGCGAATCGTATTCGCGCACGCTAAGTCTGCTGTGATTGGTTGGTGAGTTCCTCAAGGTTAAGCTTTGTTATTGTTTTATCTCTCATGACTCCGATTCGGGAAGTAAACATTGACGTAAATTGTTGTCTACAATTTCGGCTTGCAGACAGCTCTCACCACAAACTAACTAGTACCCGTGATGAATTCTGTGCATGGAATCCATCAAATCCCTATAAAAACCAACCAACACTGTCATTTCTTGTTCTGAATATGTAACTCATCTTCATTTGTTTTCCCCCCTCCCTAAATTGCGTTCTTTACTCCCTCCCTCTCTCTCTAGTGCTGTATTCAGTTGGTCTAATCTACTAGTTGTTGTCGCTGAGTTAGCCGGTGAAGAGAATGAAGCCATGGATCTTGTTCATCCGATTACAGCACACGTATTAACTGAGCATCAAATGATTGTTGGTGTTGTTGTTGTCGTTGATCCTCGGACAGTACCAATCAATCCAATGGGTGAGAAACAACGTATCCTGTTAAGAGATAGTTTTGTCAATGATAAACTTGATCCAATCTATGTATCGTATAATATGTAAAATTGTAAAATGCTCTTTCTCTCTCTATCCTTCTTTGCTTGCTATCTTTGATCTTCACCAAACATGTGTGCAGTCAGTGTGTTTGTGTGTGTGTCTGTCACATATATACATAAATTTTGTGTAGTTGCTTTTCCACTTTCTTTCTTTCTTTCTTTATTTTTTCTGTGACAAACAGAAACAACCGTGGTGATAACACAGTATCAATGAATTAATCAATCAACCAATCAATGGTTTCTTTTTTTTCGTTTTTTACTCGCCACCCCCTTTTTTCATGATTACCTGGAAGTGTTAGGATATATGAATATATATAATATGTATTAATAATTATGTATCTATCTCCTTCCCTTCACTTCTCTTCCGGTTCCCGTCTTTCCCACTCTCCTCCTCCTCTTCCCATTCAACGAAGTCATCGTAATATGGAAAATGCCATTTTTTAATTTCTAGTGTGCAACGTTGTTTTCCCCCGCCTTTTTTAGGATTATTTACTAATTATGTTTTTGAACAAAAAACAACAACAACACAAAGCAATATTGTTTTCACAGATCATGATCATTTTGTAATTTCAACAGATCTATCTTCTAAGGAGAAATGTGCATATACTACTTTATACACCACAGTGTATCTTCTTTTGTTTTGTTTTTATTTACTCATTGATTTCAATGTTACGTTTATCATCAATTGACTTATTTTTCCTGCTTCATTTGAACATTTTTCCTCTCTGTGTGTGTGTGTGAGTGAGTGAGTGAGTGGTCAACAGTTGTCACAATCCCCTAGGTCGTCCTATAACACTGAAGCATTTCCCTGTGTATAAAATAAAAAAATAAAGAGGCAATAAATGAAGTGGGAAGTACAGTGAACCTTTTCTTCCATGTATTGTTACTGTGGTTGTTTTCAATTCTTTGTGTCTGTTTGTATGTGTGTCTGTTATTGTAACCGGTGGTTTTCGGCTCATGTTCTGTTTTCCCTCCTTCCTTTCTTACCCTTTCCTTCTCCCACCATTTTCATGTGCTCGTCTCATTTATACAAACAAGGAGAGGATTGAAGTATCATAACAATATAGGCGTTACATTTCACACACAATGCCTACAATGTTGTACATTTACTGAAAAAAATGAAACAGAGTGTATAATAATCTCTTTGGTGATGTTGTTATACCTATGCATAAATAGTATATTACAAAATGATTGATTACTTCTTTTTTTTAAATCCTGTTTATTCTGTTTCTACAGGTGTTGTTTTTCTTAAAATTCCTAATCATGCAGACTCCTGATCTCTCCAATGCTTCTTCTTACTTATTCTATGAGTGTTTATTTGTATAAGTCAACATGGATATGAGCTTAGACACTTAGATACTTTGGGTGTGTGTTCAACTGTGCCCATGTCTTTCTTTCTTTCTTTACTGTCTACTAGTTTATTTATATTCATTATTTGTATGTGACATAATTTATCTTGCAGGTGTGTGTGTGTGGGGGGTTGCCCTCCTCATCCCCATCCTCATCCTTCTTGTCCCTTTGCTGTTACTCCTTTCTTTCTCTTCTCTTCTCAGAATGATTCACTGAACCACACTATTAAAAATAAGAAAGTGACGATTATGCAATATATCACCATATACATACATACATAATATAAATAAATAAATAGTCTTCTGATGTATTCTATTCTATTATTTTAAAACATGCTGTCTCTTTTTGATCCATTTGGCCTTATGATTTTTATTTTTAAACTTTCAAAAGTTTTATATTCCTCATTTCATTGATTTCTTTTCTTCTCTGTTTTCATTTCTGCTTCTATACTGTTTTTCTTTTGATATTATTGTGTAGTCGTCAATTGACATGTTTGATAATATTATTGTTATTATAATATTAATAATTAATATTATTATTACTATTGTCCACACCACTCTGACCAAGATATCTTGTATTATAATATGCTGTGGATATAAAAAGTTGACAAAGCCGATTAATTGACTGTCTGCCTGGCTGACTGACTGATTGAGTGACTGACACGCTAGCTGATTGATTTATTCACTTCTATATATACATAAAAAATATTAATATTTGAATTGTTTTGTTATTTTCATCTCATTCGTATGTTATGCATGCATGATGTGAAATACATTGTGAAAGTGTTTGTGGAAGGAAGATAGAAAGAAATAGGGGAAGAAGCGTTCACGTATGGATCTACTTAAGTATCGGAAGACGGTGTGTTCTCCGACTAAAAGAATACTTGTAACGGAAGATGACAAGAGAGACTTGGTAATGGTCTTTATTATTATGTACATTTGTTAGCCACATTTATGATTGGTTAGATAAGCGGATAATAAACTGTTCTGATTGGTTGTTGACTTTCTGAAGGTTAAACCTTGAGATTATTTCCTGACCACAACGTAAGCTAGATTCAGATTTGAGAAATAAACGCTTCTACTTTTGTAGCCATTGCCTTCAAGTGTTGGTTTCAGTTTCGGCTACTTGCTATCAATCTGCGTCTATATACTGTTGATAAATCTTGTCAGTTCTAGCACACGCCATATGCTAACCGACATGCAGCACTTCATATATATTATTTTACCCTCAAGTTGCTTTTTGACTTTATTGATAGATAGATAGATCGACAGATAAGTGTGTAGTCATTATCTAGCTTTAAAGGGAGTTTGGATAGTATTATTAGAAGATGGAGATTATCTGAAAACAAATTTGATGTATTTGTGCTTTGCATTTCGAACAATCTGATTACACATTTACTTGTCAAGTCGATATATATATATATATGAAAAAAATTAAGGGCATTTAAATTAAACAAAGTGACAAAAAAGGATTTAAGATTGAATTAACACAACGTTTGGTAATCCAATCAAATAAGGATTACCAAGGTAGATTAAGAGTAAGAATAATAAACTTTTTGAATACACAGGGGTGTGTGTGTGGGGGTGTTCAAGTTTATGAATAGCTACAGCCTCAGCGTATTTCAATAAGCACCCTTGACAATTTTTATAGTCACTCTGCTCGAACTCATACAGGTGTGTTCTCTACGGTTGTTTAACGTCAACATTTTTTAAACATTTAATTTTACTATAGATGGAAATAATCAACTTTAGTATAGACTTCAATATTTTAATGATTAAATTGTAAGAATCTCTTCATAGAATTCCCTTCTACAGTTTAAACACTATCATTTTTGTTTGATTGACTGTGTTTCAAACAGAATCATTATGGAGAAATCGATAAATAAATACAAATCTGATTTTGATTTGGTTTTGTTCTCTGAGCTGGTTGATTTAATTCATTAGTTTTCATTGTTCATCTAGGCAACGAAAATATTATGAGTTAGGCTCATTTAGTTAGATGAGTAGAAGAATAGATTTTCAACTATCTTATATAGTTTTGAAGCATAATATGTAAGTCTGGATTTCTGCACCTTCGAGTATTTCCTTTCTCTAATAAGTAATAATACTGCTACAAGTAAAGTATCCATTCAAGTCAGTCGTGAGCCTGAATACTTCAATGATAACATCCTCTACTGCAGCACTGTTTGGTGCAGTTACGAATCACCTTGGAGATTGTAGATATGCCTGAAATAAATGACGATTGTTTCCAACCATCTAACATCAATTGAACATGCTCTACGATAGCGAATCACCTATCTTGTTGACCTTATCGTAAATTCTACTGACAGTGGTGAATTAACTCTAAAACCAAACGCTAAGTAAATGACACTGGTTGCACCCTAATGGCCATATGTGTGAAGTGGAAATATATATTTGAAGGTGGGGAAAAGACTAAACTGCGAGGTGATTATTAGCTATAATTTGTGCTTGAAACCTCATTGAGTTATTAATACTTCATCACTGTGTATTATTTCGAATGAACTTATCTAATATGGAGAAAAATTAGCAGAAGTTAGAATTCACGGGCTGGCCATTGGTTTGGGTCCCAGTGGCTTCATTGTCTACTAGCTCGCCTTGTAACCAGAAGGTTCTGGGTCCGAACGTCGGTGGCGCGCGTACTGTGAAGAGTCCCAAACTAGGACGAAACAACTGCCCAGTACTTATAACAAAGTTTTCCAATGGTTCTATAACTGATGTCAGCTCATGATGCAATCCTCCAACTAACCAAACAAACAAAATCCCTACAAACTAATACTTGAAATTTAGAAAAATATATATTTATTTGGTGTGTCATATTCACTTTCCTTTTAAAAGTCATTGAACTGGATGTCGCTACCAGTCCACTTCTCTTTGCAATACTGAGCAAACCATTAAATCTTACTATCTCTGTTTCGAAACATCCTAAGTCCTTTTTCCACATTTATGCTCCATCTAGTGTCTAATTGCACCCGTTTCCAGGATTCACTAAGTGTTTGTATATACACAACGGTTGATACTTATTATATTTCCCTGAAATAGAGCTGTCAATGAGGGCGTAATTGAAAAGTGAACATTCATTCACTGATTTCATCATTTTCTATAGGAGTATTTTTGTTATTGAGTAATATCGGTGTGTGAATTGAATGACAGAACTACTCATAAGTAGTTTCTTAAAACAAAAAGAAATTATGTACTAGTCGAAAACACAATAGATGGGTTTAAAATTTGATTAGGTCAAAATTGTTATCAGATTAGAAGCAGGATATTCGGATATCCTTCAGACGAGTGTGAAGGTGAGAAAAAACCTATCAAAATGCACAAAAGAAACATGTGAAAGTGATAATAGTTATTATTTTCCGAAAATGGAAATGGACAAGTGGGAAAGACTTTTAGACTATGGTACTCGAGAATCGAGGTAGCAATTAGCATGCACAGTCTTCTTGATAACTCTTCCGAATAACGTTCAGAGATTCGTTTGTAAAGCGTGTGCTATGTGTGGTTTATATAACCAGCTCCACTGGAGCGATCAAATTTACAAGCGCACACTTAATTGGCCCAAACTGGCAGTTTATCCCTCATACATCCATCGATCATTTGCCAAATATAGAAAATGATCTGTAACGCAGCCAGAAATAATGCTTTGCTCATAGATCTGGATGAGGAGTTTTTCAGATTCTTAGCTGTGAATTCCTACAGGCTTCTGCTTAGCTTTTATGCTTTTCTCGATGAATCTCGTAGGATATCCATTTCCAGTGGGAATTCAGCTGAGTCTCTCCTCTTCTTCATTTATTGTATCACTGGTACAAATCCATCTTATTCTTGAAGATAAAGAACGGATTAGGTTTCTCTTTCCTTGTGGAATGGATTCAACTATAAGAATTTGTGTATTGACCATTGTGGGTGACTAAACACTAAATTCAGGAATCATACGAAATATCAAAATAAAAATCCAGATTAGTAAAGATATTTAAACAATATATTGCAATCATTAATGTAAATGAGTTATAGAAAAGTACAGTTACTTGCTATTAAGTCTACTTTCACAACTCATTCAATATAATCCACAGATGCGGTTCACTAAGTATGCTTCTATATTGTTTTCTCCACTGTGGAAGTTACCAAGATGTCGCTGAATACTCTTTCGACTAGGACGAGAGATTACTGTAAATTCCAAAGTATGCAAACAAGAATTAGTGTGGCAGTTAGATAGTTGCGGAGAGTAAGAAGGTTAGGCAAAAACAAGGTGTGCATTATTCAATCGCGCGGAAAAGTTGTCATTAAAACAAAGATGTCGACTAAAGCAAAAGATATATAAAATGTGTCACTTTTTTGCATTCAACAAGAAGTGTACAAAATCGTAAAAAAGGGCTCTGCACTGGTACATGTTGGTTTTCCGTACAATTGTTCTCTCTGGCAACTTAGTTTTTAAAACGTTGAATTTTCAAATAGCAGTTATTATTGTTATTGTTTTCTTTAATTCCTAGAGGAACATAGGGCTTCAGCGGTGCGTCTCCATTGCGTTCGGTTCTCTGCTAGAGTCTTCACCTCGCTCCAAGTCTGCCCACATGCTTACATCTCATGTTCACATGACCTCCTCCAAGTCACCCTTGCACTGACAACCAACTCGCCGCTTCCCTTTCGGGTTCCACTCGAGCAATGGCTTGTCTAGTGATGTCACTTGATGGTTTCTTTGCTCAGAGTATGGCCAATCCATCTCCATTTCTTCCTGCCTATTTGTTTCACAATCGGTTCCTGGTTGGTTCACTCTCAGAGATCCCTGTTGCTGATCTTTTCTGTCTGGCCATCTGATCTTGAGTATTGAGCAAAGACAACTGTTAATGAAGGTCTGTAGTTTGTTTGAGATGCTCTTTATGACGCGCAGTGCAAGTCTCTGACCCATAAAGTAGCACTGACTTCACATTGGAGTTGAAAATCTGGATCTTATTCTTCATGATGAGTGCTGTTGGGCTCCACACAGACTTGAGAGTAATGAAAGCTTGTCTTGCTTTTCCGATTCTTGCTTTGATATCCTAGTCAGTTCCGTTCTCCTGTAGTTGAAACGATGCTTCCCAGGTAGGTAAAGGAAGTTGTTTCCTTCAGGTTCCTCCCATTTACGCTGATTGTTGTCTGTTTTTCTTGTTGCTGTTGTTGTTCTTGTCCAGGAATCCTCATCACCCCTGTTTCCTCTATGTTCACCTGAAGTCCCTCCTATGTTTGATGCTTCTTCTGCCAACTTGTTGCTTTTCGCTTGCATATCTTCCAGTTTGTGGGAAATCAGACATATGTATCACATCGGCGAAGTTCAGATCCTCCAAGTTTTTCATGAGGGCCCATTTTATGCCTGTTTCCTCTCTGCCCGCTGTCTGTCGCATTGTCCAGTCTACTGCAATCAGGAAAATCATTGACGATAGTAGGCAGCCAGCTTGTCTTACTCCTGTCCTTACTTCGAAGGATTCCGTAAGTGTCCCGTTGTGGATTGCTTGGCATGCAGCATTGTCGTACAACTGTCGGATGAGATGTATAATTGTCGGTGGCACCCCATAGTAGCGCAGTAGTTTCCAAATCACCTCTTGATCGACGCTGTCGAAGGCCTTTTCAAAGTCGATGAAGTTGAGATAGAGAGGTGACTGCCATTCCAAGCTTTTTTCAATGATGATCCGTAATGTGGCGATTTGATCAATGCATGACTTGTTTCTCCTGAATCCAGCCTGTTCCGGTCGAATTTTTTCATGCAGGGCATGTTTGATTCTCTCCAGGATGATGCGGCTTAGTATTTTGCTTGGGATGGACCAAATATATTAGTAACACTTGTGTTAAGTGTTTGAACTCTTATGCTCATACAGTCAGGATGAAACTGAAGTATGTGTGTGTGCGTGTTAGTTTGAAATAACAAAATGGAATGAATTTACGACTCATACATTTTAACATTCAACAGACAACGTTTTAATAAAAATGACAGGTCGATATACTAAAATGATCCTAAAAAAAACAGAGCAAAAAGAGTCAACTGAAAAGACATATTTCAGTTTCTTGAAAAAATAACTTCAGAAAACTGAATATTCTAAAATTGCCAAAGTCTGTGCGGCAAAAATTATGATTGTGAAAACAACAGTGCTACAGTTGAGAAGGATACAGCATTTATCTAGTGAACTCTCAAAGGAGATGATGTTTACTTTGGTTGGACACCAGTAACTAGTGTGGTGTTTCTAGTCGTTTCTTTGGGGCAGACTGAATTCTGTCAGTCAGGTTTGCAATATGGCCATCATTCTAGGCAGCTCGCCATCACGGTGTAAATTGATTTGATGATGTTAGATGGTTAGAAGCAGTCTGCAGGAAGCCTTGGACCTAGATTTCGTACTAGTTGGCACTCATCAGTCAGTCAGCAAGGCATATCTGTAACCTTGAAGGAACTCATGTCCCTTCTGATATTTGAACCTGTGTCACCGAACGCAGTGCTGCAGTCAGAGACGTTACCACTGGGCTATTCGGGCTCGCGATTGACTTCCTGTAGGATTGTGTTGGATGCTTTGATTGGAGGTGATGTATAACTATAAAGGAACAAATAACTAAAAATTGACATCTCCATAACTTATCTTGTGGCTAGACTTATTACTGTTTATAGTATTACTTGTTCCTTTTACCAATCGAAAGTGGACAGACATACATCGGAAGTCATCTTCAAGTGTGTTTAGAAATCTACGTGTATGTATGTACCACAGAGATTATATTAGAAGGATTTGAAAGATAGGTAGTCACTCATTTTTTGAACATATTCCCAAATACCTGAGACTTAGAGGTTTCCAGTCCCTTAACCTACTAATTTCACAACATTTAATCGTATTGGGACATAAAGTGGATATTCCAGTTGCATTTATCATTATCTAAAGGTGCTCTGGGTGCAGAACTCTGACCGGAACAAGCTGAATTCCGGAAAGGCAAATCATATGCTGATCAAATTGCAGACAGAACTCTCCCTAAGCTTCACTGACTTTGAAAAGACCTTTGAAAGCGTTGACCAATCGGTAATTTGGAAACTACTTCGATACTGTGGAGTGCCCCAAATCATCAACTTCAATCAACAGTTATATGACAATTTCACGTGTCAGGTGATCCCCAACAGGAAACTCGGCGATGCATTTGAAGTGAATACAAGAGTAAGACAAGACTAACTGATATCACCGATGATATTCCTAGTTAAAGTGGACTGGATTATGCGGAAGACTGCAAGGAGTGAGAAGACAGTAATACGCTGGATCGATAAGGTGACTGTAGAAGATTTGGATATCGCATACGACTTATGTCTAATATCTCACAAACTCGAAGACTTTTACAGGCGAAAACCAACAAACTGGCTGAAGAAGCAGTCAGAGAAGATAGGACTCCAGGTGAACAAAGAAAAGACGCAGGTGGTGAAGGAAGATAACCAAATCAACTAAGAACAGCCAGCAGCAATCACCATCAGCAGGAGAAATTTGAAGGAGGTCACTTCCTTTACTTATCTAGGAAGCATCAATTCAACCGCAGACGGAATAGATAAAGGTGTCATAGCTGGTCAGAATCGGAAAGGCCAGATACGCACCTTCATCAACCTGAAACCAGTTTGGAAATATTCTCTGGTGCACTCAATCAGTATAAAGAACAAGATTCGGATTTTCAACACAAATGTGAGGACAGTTCTTCTTCACGGGTCAGAAACTTGGCACCAGCGTCACAAAAAGCATTTCCATTAGCCTGATGCAGACACTCATCAACAGGTGTCTTCTCAGTCAGAAAGGATTAGCAGCAAGAAACTCTGGGAGTGAACCTACCAAGAATCCATTGCTCCAAAGTATGTAGGAGAAGACAGAGGTGGATCGGACACACGCTGAGGAGACTGTTGAATAACATCGCGTGCCAGGTCACCGCCCAAATGGAGTCCGAATGGGAAACGATGAGATGGACATCTGAGGGTGACATGGAGGAGATCGTGCCAGGAGAAGACCAGAGATTGTGGGCAACCGTGGGGCCAGGTGAAGAGAACTGCAGAAAATAAGGCAGAGAGGAGATGTGTTGTTGAAGCTCTGTGTTCCACTCGGAAACCAAGAGAAAATTAATAAAAAAATAAGAATAGAATCTATCATTATCAACAATCAAGAGAAATCCGACTTTACTTTGGTTAGCTAAATCTAGCGTTATCGAGCAATTCAAACACAACCTGCATACACAAAAGGGAGTGGTGATTATTGTTCAAGTTACCTAGTGACTATTATTTCACTCATTGAATAATTTTGTATTCTGTTTTCTACTACTTTTGTTTCTTGGATTCACTGATCTTAACTCGATTGATTTCAAACCACTTTTAAATTCCTTCTTGTATATTATTGCGTAATCTTCTTCCTGTAATTTACTGGGTGAACAGTGTTTATTTGTAAGCTGTTAACCAAAACATCCTAAATCTTATTCCAAATTCATCATAAATAACTAGTTCCAATTTCCTATCAATTTTTATGTTTATCCCATCATCATATTGCACTCTTTACTGTTTCCTTAAACTAGGATCTTCATGCCTAGCTTCTGGTTGGTTTAATATTTTGAAAAATATGTATTTTCTTATTTCATTAACCGGAAAAGTATGGATTAAAATGAGTGTGTAAATCTTCTGCACTCAGTATAAGGAACAAGATTCGGTTCATCAACACTATTGTCAAATTAGAGCTGCTATGTAGTTCAGACAATAGGTGCGTGCATTTCCAACAGGGAGAAGACAAGAGGTAGACTGTGATGAGCTAATATCTTCTCGTCAAGATCAGGTGAGATGGACTAATTTTAATTTTTTTGAAATTTTATTATAGCTTGATTCCACACAGTATTTTTGGTACAAGTATGAAATTTTCAGCATGTGATATCGGTAGCCCAAATTTAGCAGGCCAACCATAGATATCAGGTGTGCTTCGGCGGGGTATCGAACCTTGGACCATGTGCATGGTCGGCGAGAGTCCTAACCGCTGTGCCACCGACTACGATATAAGCTGTGCATCTCCACCAGATGGTATATATTTGTAAAGATTCTGTCCATTTTTGTGGAGTGATTGAAGATCCACCAATTTCTGTTCAATAAAGCGAATCATCGTACGCCTGTTACGATGATAATTTCTAAAGTAGGTAATATTTTGATAATACTTCGGCAAAATGTCCTTCTCAGATGGCCAGACACTGCCTTGAAAACTCAAATGACCACGATCGTTCGCATAGCACTCGTAAGCTGGTATGTGATGAGGGGTTTCAATCTCATCTAGAAACATTATTCCCATTCTAGGAGCCCAAAATTTGGCTAAATGAGCCAAAGAAAATGCAGAAGTAGAGCTTGCTGCCATTAGGTGAGCAGTATGACTGACTATCGATGCACATCCTATATAGAAATTATCAGACATCTCCAATTCCAATTGGTCAGGTTCACCTTCCACTACACTTGATTTGTATTCATCAACACACTGTTCTGAGTCATTTACAGACATTTCACCCGACACAGAATCTTCCTCGGAATCTTCATCAGAATTAATCATATTTATTGGTGAATTCACAGATTTACCTCCCGTTTTAAAGTCTTCACAATTTTCCAAGTCCGTAATTTTCTGCTTTGCTTTTCACCCATTAGGATGAACCCATTTAGCCTCTGCCACAGGAAATTATGTATACCTTATATTAAAATCGTCATTCCGTATTGTTCTACTTCTGCCCTTCTTATTGCTTTCCTTCGTCTTCTTTTCGTGTCGCCCATGTCTTGCCACAATTCTGGTTCATTTCCTCTCTTTGACGTCAAACCTATCTCTCCGCCACTTGATATTTTCATGCCAATGAACGTCTCCTTATATACTACTGATAAATCCTATTAGTAGCACACGCCAAAATAATCAATGCCTAATAGATGGCATACAGTCTCACTGTTTACCACCTGCGAACCCTTTAGTTTCAGGTTCTTTAATTTCTATTTATTCTAAACTGTCATTTTTCAAGAATATTCATCTAACTATCTGAAAAATGGTTATTCCTTTTAACCCTTAATAGTGTAACAACTTACTTCATGTGTCGTAAAGTGTAGCTGACTCTGCATAGGCTGTTCCAAACTAGAACTTGACCTAGTAATTCAAGGTCATAAATCCCCAGACTCAAATCTTTACTAGACCTAGAGCTGAGATGTTCGCATAATCTGTCATTTACAGAGCACACCACGAAACAAGTGTCAAAATCATGCAAACTACAGAAATGAATCCAGAATACTACTGTACAAGGTTTTTGTGCGCCCACTCCTAGATTACTGATCATTCATATTTAATAGTATACATTTAGAAGACAAACTAAAAGTAGAAGGAGTGCAGAGGTATTTCACGCTTAAAGTACTCGGAACCGAGAACGCCACAAACCACTCCACCATATATGAGATCCTAGGACTCGAAACGCTATGGTTAAGACGACTGAGACTAAATTTGGTACACTTCTATAAAACACAAAATAATCCAGCAAAGAATATTCTTTTCGATAAATTCCTCCTCCGGCTCTACAGTTATATATGTTTATATACATAGAATATTTTAAATTAGTAGTCAATAACAATATTAGTGTTTCTTAAATAATACCGATGTGTAAAGTATGATCAATGGAATTACAGTTCATTAAAAATGCTTAAATTATAATAATAGTAAAGATATAGTAGCGAATAGAATATCAACTAAAATTAGGAAAATTCCACAAAAATTCATGATCATTCAAACCTAGATGGCCAAGGCAAGGATAATGACTGAACTAACTTCTTTTGGACGCACAAATTAGGCTTCTTAAAATGGATCCCAATAGCCTCAGCAATGTTTAGTAGTCGAACTCTTAAGGCAAAACTGAGGTTCGTAGGTATGTGGTAAATGACCCTGAAAGCATGATTAACATCAATCTTGTGTTCTGTCTCCAGAAGATGAGACAGAATAGCGCTGCGAATAGATTTTGTTTGTCTTTTGCTTCTTAATCACATAGTGTATACTCCTACTAATGGTACTCGATTTTCAGACGACATTGGATATAACCTTAGACACACTAAAGGTACAGTGGCTATAGAACAATGTAAAACAACCACCAGGCAAAAGTTTTACTTGATTAGATATGCGCAAATATGGAAAAAAACTACCAACGAAAATGTGGCTGGCAAGCACATTGGCTGGCCTCCTTTGAAAAGGTGCTTAATGATACTTACACTAAGAGAGTTCACAAGCGATACCAGTGCCAATTCCCGTGTAAGAGCTTCACAGAAATCATTGGCCCATTTAATGTATCAGCTTAGAGACTACACCTGTTGTTTGTTTTGCCTCTATTTATAATTTCAGATAAAAAGGCAGCAATCATGACAAAAGCCTTCAAACAAATAAGAGTCGATCGTATAATATCTACCTGTCTGCAGTGATAAATCCATAAATGTTAGAATATGATAGACATTAAAAGTAAAGTTGAAATTCGTCAACAATAATTTCGTGCTGATTTATCAGTTGATAACTATTTCCAACTGTAACTAGGCTTTGTTTTTTTCATTATTCATTGCGAAATACAACATATTATTTTATAAATATATCTATATTCAGCTGTACTGGATTTTAGAAATTATTTATTTCCCAAAAAGAGAGAAAAAACAATAATTATAATTATTATTATGAATAGTTTCTGTTCCGTTCTACTCAAAAATATGTGTTACCATGGCGCTTGTTAGTTAATTGACCTTCAAAAACAACTTTTATTATTTTTTTTTGAGAAAAAAACAAAAACAAACAGTATTCGATAAACATTCGAAGTATATAAATTCCTCCTCAAATCATGCTCATCATTTGCTCAACATTTATTTTAGTCTATTCTATTCAATTCCAACAAGTTTATGTTGTTTAAATGGTTACATTGACAATTGAACCTAATGGCGGGAATCATTTCATATGACACTTATCTTCATTTATGAATGGTAAGGAGGATTGTCTTATATGAGTGAATAGACGAGTTCGTCTTTTTATTTCTTTCGGTGAACCAAAAACAAAATGCGAATTTCTTTAGAAAATGGAATAAAAATGATTGGAGTAATCATTTATTTTTACTTCATCGTTTATATTTATGCAAATTGTACTCATACAACACTTGATCAATATCATCAGAATCATACTGACAACAAAGAAGTTGATAACAGTACTGATAAAAGTGTAAATAACACCAATCAAATTGAAAATGATGATAGTAATAATTATGATTTATGGATAAAATGGAAACTTTTACATAATAAAACATATACTACTCATAAAGAGTATTATGAACATTATGAAAATTGGCAGTTGAATTTATTATCTATTAAAGAACATAATGTTAAACATAAGAAAGGCTTAGAATTATACGCTACAGGATTGAATCAATTTTCTGATTTAAATTGGAAACATATTAATGAAGTTTATTTAACAAATTTAAGTAAATATTCATTGAAACCGAAAATGAAGAAAACGATTTTATTAAAGTATGCATTGAATAAATCAAAGGATATTCCAAATTCATGGGATTGGAGAACAATGGGTGTTGTTAGTGGGGTTAAATTACAAGTGAGTTAGATGAATTTTTACTTATGCGTTGTAATAACAAGAATTGTTTAGCTGTGTTAAGAACTAGAGATTATCATACAGCTGGTTCCCTTCATATTTGCAGGATATTATCAGTTCGTTTCACTCTGCAGACTCTCTTCAACTGCGTACATCCTAAGTAAATCAATTACTTTTCGATAGTTTGGTTTCTAAGGGCTAGTTTTGTTTTTACGAGTTGATCACGGATTGATATCAGTTAGAGAACCATTGGAAACCAGAGAGTACTGGACATCTGTTTCATCCCACTAGTTCGGGAATCATCGGCAGTACGCACCCCCTACCAGGGTTCGAACCCAGGACGTTCCGGTTACAAGGCAAGCTGGCTCGTATACCATTCAACCACTGGGGCCCGATTCAATGGCTCATGAATTCTAACTTCTACCTATTCGTGATTTAGCGCGACCGTGATCAACTTGTAAAAATCAAAATGATGTCTGAACATTCCTTTTTACAACGATTTCAAGCTGTACATAGAGAGAGTATAACTAACATAATTTCAAAGGTGATGTAAGTAGACAATTATTTAGTGTTAAAAGAGTAACTATTTATGTAGTAGTTAGACAAGGTGGTTGGGTGGAATTTGGATTTGTCTTTGAGACAACGATGGCCTAAAGACAAAATACATTATAGAACAAGAGAGCTAATTTATGCATCTTATGGTGGAGAGTTCTGGAGTGTGGGCGTGAACAGGGAAGTAAATTTATAAAATAGATAAAGTAACTGCATTTAGTATATTTTGAACCTTAATAGTGACTTCAACTCATTTAGTGAAAATCAAAATCAAGTTTGATTGGGATGTTATGCAAAAGAACAACACAATTATGGTTACCAGGATAGTGTGAAATTAGTCACACTCTCTTTCTGTATGCAAAGATTGGGTCAAAGTCTTTTGATGACAATGGATTCTTCGAACCGAAGTAACCATGCTTTCCTTTGTGTATTGATTATTTTGAAAGACTGACTAATTTCCACTATATATCCCGTGTCAATTAGGTGTCTGGCGATTGCGCTTGAGAATACTTTGCTGACTTGAAACCGGAGACTTCTAGGGATATGGTCAGCGAATCTAGTAGACGCTCTCCTCTCAGTCCTTCCTATGTACTTACTGCAACAATCACAGCTAGTGCAATACCCTACTGAGCTCTCCACCATAATATGTATAAATTAACTGTGTTAAACTATCTTGTATTTTGTCTCTCATCCATCCTTGTTTCCAAGACAAATCCGAATTCCAACCAACCACCTTGTCTAATCACTATATAAATAGTTACTCTTTTGACACTAAACAACTGTCTACTTACATCATCTTTGAAATTATGTTGGTTATACTCTCTCTATGTATAGCTTGAAATCGTTGTAAAAAGGAATGTTCAGACGTCATTTCGTTTAGGATATGGGCAGTTGAAGAGAATCCATGAAATGAAACGAGTTCGTAATATCCTCCAAATACGTTGTTTCTCTCTCTATTCAAACTAGGAACTATTTACAGGATTAACCACGAGCAGATACAGTTAGAGAACCATTTAGAAACCTGGGAATGAGTACTGGACAGTAATTTCATTCTAGTTTGGAACTCTTCAGAAGTACGTGCCCACCGCAGTTCGAATCCAAGAGCTTCGTGTTACGAGGTGAGGTCGTACACGATTCAGCCAATGAGACCTGACCCAACTGTCCATGAATTCCAACTGCTGCCAATTCGTGATATGTATTTAGCTCAGCCGTCAGTCAGTGTCACAGGAGAGTAACTGCCCTCTTGACTGACTTGGTGGACTCCAAATTGTAAGAAGTTGGAATTCATGAACAAATTGGTTGGGTCTCAGTGGCTGAACCGTCTATGAACTCGCTTCGCAACCAGAAGCTCCTGGATTCGAACCCCGGTGGGTACGTACTGATGAAGAGTTCCAAACTAGAATGAA